AAATATATATATATATATATATATATATATTTATTTATTTTTGTACAGTAGTTGAATAATGACAAAGCTCATTGAAAGTTAAGTTTGGTTATCATATTAATGTGTTAAGAACAATGTAACAAAATTGAACACATTATTCAAAAATAGTGAAGTACTTAAGTGTTACCTCAGAAAAGTATTGATAAAAAATTATTTCTAATGTCATATAATGGATGGCAGATACTAATAACTATTTTGCTAAAATATATTTGGAATATATTCTTGAGTAAATGAATGGCTTACTGTAGTACTTGTTGCAATTTTTCAAATATCTAAGAATGTCTGGCATAAGAAAAGATTACAAACTTGAAATAAAAAAATTAAATGAAGGTTCATATGATTTTTCACAAAGTGTCATTGGAGTTGCATTATCAATATTATTTTAATTCATTAACTTTTATGGGTAAATTGCTTTGTACTTCTGCATAGACAGTTTTAAGTAACAATATAAGTGAATGCATAATTACATAGATGAAAAACAAAATGTCATAGAATATGTTTTTTGTATTATTATAGTTTTTTGAACATATCTATGCAGAATACTCATATTTTTTAATCAGATCAAGCCTCCCAGAAACAAATACATTAATTTTGTTACTTTTAGTCATATTTGTTTACTCTTTTTAATTGTAAGTATAAATATACACATTAGGGTAATACTTGTATTCCTACTATGATGTTTGTGCTATAAGCATTGTGCCTTCTCCGAGTGATTAATTCTTAATTGTGGATTAAGAAAATAAATATATTGAAGAAAAGTATTGATGTATATTTTTACACAAGTTTATTGACTTCTAATGTATAAGCTTGTATGTTACAATTGACAATTTCAAGAATCAAGAACATTGTGAATAAATGTGTAACATAAAAAAAATAATTAAATTTGAGCATATTTTTTTTCCATCAAGGCAACATTTAAAAACTAAATCCTTCCTTCAGTGTACTACATCTTGTCACTTAATACTAAAAGTTATATTAGGCAGTGATTAATTATGCATCTGTATTTAATCCTTCTGGGGTTGATCTTTGGTAGCGAATTTAGAAGCTTAAAATGGTTTATTAAAATAAATTTTATTATGTTTACAAAATATTTTGATTATCTTATACATTAAGTATTATTTCATTTCGTTTTTATATAACCAGAAAAGTCCATACTTATATAATCTTAATTTCTAGCACATTAAAATGAATTTGGTAATTATCAAATACCTGACTATAACATATTAGGTATCTTCAAAATATCTTGTCCAGATTTGTTTACTTCTAGTTCTAACAACTGAGCATTGGACTTTCATTAACTTGTCTTCCCCCCTCTCCTTTTTTCTGTGCTAAGTTTATAGACGGTTAAAATTTCAGTTTACAGTTTTTATTTGTTTGTTAAGAATGACCATCAAGGATAAAAAAATATTTTATTTTAGTCTGTATTATTTATAAAGTATGTATTTCTTAGAAAAAATGCTACAGTTACATGCTGTTGCTTGGGGTGTGTGAATGGTTTTTGCCACTGACATTTGTGATCATGAATTGTCACCTGTCACAAGGTCCTGCAATTTGCTTACCAAGTCTGGACTATGTCTTATTGCAGTTCTCTTTCTGGATGGTCTTGGCTCTCCAAGTTTATCCCTATTCTTTTGTTTTTCCAATGCCATGAAGTACCAGGAATATCCCCATTTAGAAAATTCAAAATTCCCAAGATGAACACATTATTATGATTTGAGTGTGTGAATATGTTGCTTTGGTAAGGACTGTTACATACCCTTCTCAAAAGTAATGAATTTTTGGTAACATCACACTATCTGTAACACCAAACCATGTCAAAATCTAATTCTGTTACGTTATTCCACTTCATCTATATCTACTGTGTGGTTGTCACATGACATTATGATTTGCATATTCAAAATCATCTTAATGTAATGTACTCAGTCCTCTTTATTTCCATCCACAAAAGTTATCAAGTTTTGTAAAAAATGTTTTCCAAATTCTCACAGTTTAATATCCAGTAAAAATTACAAGTGGTTCTTCATAGAAAAAAAAAAAGTAATAATAGAAATTCTATATACCTTTAAGATGTACAAGACTCATTGTTTTCCCATCTGAATTTAACAAACTTATTGTGAATTCTGCTTTATTTAGAGGGCCTGGCATGGCCTCATGTTTAGGGAGTTCAACTCGCAATCTGCAGATTGCATGTTCGATTCCCTGATACACCGAACATGCTCACCTTTTCAGCTGTGGGGGTATTATAATGTGATGGTCATTCCCACTATTCGTTAGTAAAAGAGTAGCCCAATAGTTAGCAGTGGGTGGTGTTGACTAGTTGCCTTCCCTCTAGTCTATCACTGCTAAATTAGGAACGGCTAACACAGACAGCCCTCATGTAGCTTTGTGCGAAATTCCAAGCAAACCAAACTACTTTATTCAGAGAAAACAAAACTTGGAAATTGGTAAATTGTTGGCAGAGAAATTTCGTTCTTAAGTAATTAAATATAGATAGTTTATCATGGATGACAAGGAGATTGAACATCAGATCATGAAGTAAACATGACTTATGAGGCTGGACATTGATTAGCTTGTTCATAATCTACACTGGGCATTACATGAGGGTTTATTGTAAGAGTGAATGCTTTCATGATTTCTCTTCATCTATTGACCAAAAAGTAGCATGTTTAAAGTTATAAAAGTCAACTCAAAAACATAAAGGGTTCAGTCTTGAGGAGCCACCTGTGTGGGTAGACAAGAGAAGTAATGAACATAAAAGCTGTATATAAAGATTGACTTACTCGATAACTCAAAATAGCAAACAAACATATATCTGAAAAATAAAGACTTCATCTAGAGCTAATGGATGATATTACACTTTCTCAAATCTGGCTTTTATGTATTAATACGAGTCAAAGTTTTCAGTCATAAAAGTACTTTTCCATTTCTTTCCATATAAAATGTAATAGAATACCCATATAACATCAGAAAATAGAAATTAGTACTAGGAAAACCAAGTCAAAATTAATTGGTACTTTTTATTCAATGTAAGCTAAACATTTACATTCATTCACTTGAAATATATAATGGGTCACATTTAATATATACAGACATTTAATCTATTATATTAAAACTATTTTGGATCCTTACAACATAATTACAGTCCATGTTGTCAGATCCAGTCATGTTCCATCTGATGACTGTACATTTTGACAATAGCCCTACAGTGTATATTCCACTGCAAAATGCTCTGTCATAAGGCTATCATTTTCAAAGCATGGCATGCCTTCTATAATCTAATTAGTGTACAAAGGTGATAGTTTCCCAGCACTTTTTTTTTTTTAACATCACACCAAAAATTATAGGTGCTTTTACCTTTATATCTTTGTGTGGAATACCAATACCTGTTTCATTCTCCAGCTGCTTGAGATATGTGACAGTTAACTAGGAGCCTTATCTTAGGGAACCCATATGCTGTTGGTCTTGTTTCCATACATAGCTAGTATTTCTCCGTGATACAGAGGTCCAGAGTTCACCTTGACCTTTGTATCAAGTCTCCTGATCAACAGCTTGTCCCTGGTTCAATAGTCAGTGATGATTATGAACCCCTAAAAAAAGTCTAACAACATGTCGTGTGCCAGTAGAAAATGGCATAAGAGTTGTTACAATTATCAAGGCACACGTACACTTCATTGAGTGTCACATATACTGTCATTCTTCCCCAGTTAGGTACTGTTTATAGAGTTTTCCACAGTTGGTCTTTTCTGTATATGTCATGGAAGACACTTGTTTACATGTGACTTGTATCACTTTTCCAAATGATTATGTTGTATTCTATTATCTTGTAAATTCTAAATCCCTGACCTGAGCACATGTGTATGATCTGGGCATATGAATATTTTCTACCAGAAAGGGTTTTTACATACTTTTCTCAAAAGTTTTTAGTGACATTACACTACCTACAAGATGCCAGTGTAGTTTTGATACTTTCTATATAATTGCATCTTTATATTGGTTGTGGTGGTTGCAAAACTTGCTGGTTTGCATATTCCAAATCAAGTTATTATTACATACTCAACTGCCTGTATATGCAAGGTATACATTATATGTAATGTCATTGCAACAAATGCTTAGAAATTCACTTGTATTCTGTTTCTACATTATACTCCATTTGCAGGTTAAAGAAATCAACGATTGTTTTTATACCCAGAAAAAACTAAATGCTATAAATTCAATGTCTGGAAATTATTTTTGGTTCTTGTGACCTTTGCTGTAGCACATTTCTAGTCATTGTATTAAGTATGATATCACAGAGAATCTTTGAAAAGTCTTGCAACCATCTAGTAGTAAATGTTTTCCCACTAAATTTGCTCATGAGACTCAAGAGGCTTTCTTTGTGTTTATAAAGGTTTTGCAGTTATCAAAGCTAGTCAGTTAGCCAAGCTGCTTCAGGGAAAGGAAATTACAGATATTCAAAGAGGAATGGTTATTGGATGCAGTATTCTAAGGTATGAGATGCACCAAACTCTCAATTAATCTGATCTTCAAAACAATAACAGGTTTGTGGGTCTTATATTTAACATAATATAACATTTTGGGACAACATGGGACCTATTGGTCCATCTCGATTGTTCCATCCTCTAAACTGAATTTATTTATTTTTTAAATCTTAAAGCCAGCCCTTATCATTCATATACTTATCAAGCTTTTTATGAAACTCACTTAAATTTACTGCCTCTACAACATCCGATGGCAACCCATTCCAAAGGCCAACCACCCTGTTAGAAAAATGAAACTGTCTTCCCTGAAGATGACTCCTGCCTTGCCAAAATATATATTTGTGTCCCATAGTTCTACTATTTTCATTGTTAAATATGAAAAAAGATGATGCATCAACACTATCAATTTTCTTTAAAATCTTAAACACTTCAATCAGATCC